GGTTACGTGTGCCAGACAGTTGTCACAGGCAAAAACATCGGTCAGGAGTGGGCTGGCTGGAGAAGGAGCTGGGCAGAGTCGTCGCCGACATGTCACCCCAAACGGTGTCAATTTTTTAATGTCAAGCGTTTAACTGGCGTACCGTTGCCCTCGGGTCCTGGTCGGAGGCCTCCGTCGCGCTTTGACATAATTAAAGGCCATTAATCACGTGTGCTGATTCAACAACGCCCACTCTGTTACAGACCGGAGGGTGTGTGCGCCTGGATTGGGCGACGGGACCCCGCTGACCTCTCAAGGGGTTAATACAGCCACTTGAACCTCAGGTTGGGTCGGCTCAGGTCGCATTGGATCTGTTTCGGAGGGACATTTAAATTCACCAAGCCCCGTCAAGACACGGTGCTGCTGGCCTGCCACAAATTGTGTCCGACTGGACAATTTGCTTTTTTTCAGATGCTTCGCTTCGCTGGCGATTTGCCTCTTTTCAGTTTTGCTCGCAGTTTTTTGTTTTTTTGTGCAGTAGCATTTTGGCGTCAATTAACGTTCTTTGTTGTGGCGTTACATTGGACACATTTTTGGGGGCTATAGTCATGGCCACGGTCAGAACGCTGGAAATGGTCAGAGCTATGTAGATGTCGCGTAGATTGGAAATGTCGCGTGGATGTTTCGCTTCATTGAGCCTCAGTTTGTGGTGATTCCCATGCAGAATTACGGAAAAAATACACGACTTTAAGGCCAATGCGACTGCTCTATGCCCTGCTTAGAAAACTCAGAAAGGTTTCAAATCCAATAGCAGTTTACAACTGCTTTTTAGTTTTTTTACTTCTCATGAAATAAATATTTGATACATTTTGTACGGACATATCGTCTTACTGCACTTAAGTGTCTAGAACAAGCTGTAGCGAACACGTTGCAAGAGGGATGAGCGGTGCAACGATATGACAAAACAAATTCCCATATATTCACAACAGCTCCTGGATACACACATTCAGCCTGAAGCCTGAAATCCCAACAGGGAGCGACAATATACATAGATACCAAAAGATATCCACGGCATGGCGGCAGTCTCCCCGCTTATGCAGACTTATAGTCGCGCATATTGACCACGGAGTGGTAGGGCGATGGGGCAGACGACTACACCTTCGCTGACCGACCCACATGCTCCCACTGGGGGATTGATTTTTAACGAGCATGAACCCGACGCGCTATCAAATCGAATTTTTTCCTGCTCTCATTCTCTTTAATACAGGCCGGAAAAAATTATGGAAAAGCTTTTTTAATATACCGAAATGGCTGAAAAATCGGAAGGCATATGTGCGGAATATAAGTGCTAAAAGACAAAAAGTTGTCAAATAATTTCCTATCAATTGATTTCGGATTTAGTACATAGCCCTTCTAGAGTTTTGTCATTTGGCACGATACCACAAAAAATGCCTGTGTAGACAAAAGGATTGAATATTTTACCGTGACGGACCAAAGCGGAAATTTTATAAATTACTGATATATTTAGTAAAATAAAATTTTTGAAATTGTATTTATTTGGTCGAAAGCTCAATTATGCTTTGTCACAAAATATAATAGTAGAAATTGTTAACGGTTACTTTTAGTAAAAAAGTACTGTGCAAAATTTCAAAACGGCTCGTTCAGTAGATTTTGCACGATCGTGTACACCGACTTTGAAACTGGCAACTTTTCAGGAAAGTGGTTCCAAGACCTCCAAAAATCGAGTGCAAAATGCGCTAACTTAGCTACGTTTAATTGCTCATAACTTCGGAAGTTTTAATCGGATAAATCTAAAATTTTAACATAAAATTAGAATCGCAGGAAATATCCTTAAACTGTAGGCATAATTTAACATCATCTGCGTACATAAGTACACGAGAATGACTTATAACTTATAAATAATGTAAAATGAAACGGACCAGGATCGCTCCTTCGTGGGACATTGGAGGTTGCACGGAGAATTTTAGAAAGAGAATTTTTTAAAACTACTCTTTGTGTCCTGCCACTCATATATCTTACGATCCATATAAGACCAACTGGAAACCCTTACAAGACAAGATTTTGAACAAAAAATAAGTAATTTGCAGAATAAAATGCTAAACTAAAATCAGTGTAAAAGACGACTGTTTGAGAACTACTTTTTAAGCCTTTTATCACAAATGAAGTGAGCTCCAAAAGGTTAGGGTTTGTGGATCTACGTTCTGCAAACGAGGAGTAATATTTTTATAAGGGTGTGGTAAATGATCTAAAGTAGAATAAGTCGTTTGAAAAAATTGGGCAAATAAATCGGCTATTTCCTGCCGTCATGTTTTCAAAAAAGGATAATTTTATATCCCTTAAAAGGTCTGGAGTTAACATTTGCTAAGTGTGTCAACTCTTTGCCAAACCAAGCCAATTTATTATAGATTGACGGATAGACCACGGAACACAGGAATTCAAAATGAATTTATTCCAGTGTAAATAAATGAAGGGCATTGGACATATTATTGAATGAGTAAACCCCAATGAAAGCCAGAAATACAATTATTTATGCTCAGAAATTCTGCCCTAATTTTTCTGATTTTTCTTCTATTATGGTACACGTGTCGATTATGACTTCGATTGTAGGATAAAAATGGATCTTCAGGTTGCGTAAGTTTGGCCTTGACCAGGAAATCTTTCTCCCACGTTCCCCTTTTTAAGGCCTCGAACTCTTTCCAAAATCGTCAGGGCATATGGCTTCGAAAACCTCGTTTGCAACAATGATTTTGAAAGATGAAATCTTCCAAGCGTAAGAAAACTTAAACTTTTACACCTTTACACTATTGCTATCGGATTTAGCTTTGTCTTATAAAACTTTGTGTATAAAACAATACATTAGAAGATATTTGATCAGGGGAAAGCCGAGAAACAAATATTTGTTTCTTTACCGAACGGAATTTGGGTGGAACATCATTGAGTTATCCCTTGCAACATGGTTAAAAATCGGTTATTTTAAAAGTTTTTGTATTTTTATGTTGGGTTTTATGTGATTAAGGGTATATTTCATAGACTAATCAGACTTATAGTCTCTTCTCAAGACCTTTCATGATGCAGAGAACTCGACCAAAAAATTTTAAAAAATTGGAAAATCGGAAATGCTTTGTTCATTATCCATTGTTGAAAAGATCCTCGTTTGCTATTTCCATCTCCTAGCACCCTTTTTTTTATACCCTTGCAGTGGGTTTATGTATTAGGTATATTTTTAATGCGTTTCAAAACTTGTGTGCAACAAAAATGGCAGTTCTGAAGGAGATCCATTTCCCCTCCGACCCTATAAAGTATATATAATATATTCATGATCAGGATCGCCTCCTGAGTTGATATAAGCATGTCCGTCCGTCCGTCTGTCCGTCTGTCTGTCTGTTTTTACGCAAACTAGTCTCTTTGTTTTAAAGATATCGAATTGAAACTTTGCACACACCCTTCTTTCCTTTGCACCCAGTATATAAGTCGGAACGGCCGGGATCGGCCGACTATATCCTATAGCTGCCATACAACTGATTGATTGGAAATGCCATAACTTTGGTGTTTTTAAAGTTAGGAAGTTGGGATTTTCTATGGGTTTTATTTTTGGCCAATCAATCTGACCTACCAAAGCTTTAAAACTATATCCTATAGCTGCCATATAACTGAACGATCGGAAGTGCCACAACTTTGGTGTTTGTAAAGTTAGGAAGATTTTATATGGGTTTTATTTTTGGCCAATCAATCCGACCTACCAAATTTCATAAGGATCGGCCGACTATATCCTATAGCTGACATATAACTTAACGATTGGGAATGCCATAAGTTGGAATTTTTTATGAGTGTTAAAATTGCATCATATGAATAAATTCGGAGAATATAATTTACAGAATATTCTGCAAGGGTATTTCAACTTCGGCTCCACCCGAAGTTAGCTTTCCTTTCTTGTTTAAGTCAAATTTAATTTAATATTTTTTATAACCGATATCTATTTTCATTTATTTATTTACAAAAATGTAGTCCTAGAGTGCTGTCTATGGTAGTCTTAAGCGTTCAGCTAGTATCAGGGGTCACAACAGTGTTCTTTTAATTAAAGTTCTAATTAGATGGTTTGGGAATTCGTTGTCCTTTAAAATTTGTCCTATTTCATTTTTGGTTTCTTGGTTTATATTTCGATGGTTTAAATAAACAAAGCAATGATATAGTTGCCCCGATTTTTATAAAAGTAAGACCGTATTTTTGAAATTGCTAAAAAATACTATTTCTTTGATATGTGTTCAGAAACCACGAAACCTCTTTCCCATCTGGCCCCTGCCCTACTATATACTACCTGCATCAGAAAGAAGACTTTTTCTAAAGTTTCGTCCAAATAGCTTTAAAACTGAGGGACTAGGAAGGAAGGACAGACTGATTGACTTACGGACGGGGCTAGATCAACTCGCCTGGTGATGTTGATCAAGAATATATACTTTATAGGATCGGAATAGTGAGCTTCACTGAGTTGCAAACTTTTGACTGAAACTATCATACCCTCTGCAAGGGCAATATTGGTATAATGCAAAAAATAAAGAAAACAAGAAAGAAAGGAAAGCTAACTTCGGGCGGATCCGAAGTTGATATACCCTTGCAGAATATTCTGTAAATTATATTCTCGAAAATTATTCATATGATGCATTCTTAATACTCTTAAAAAAACCCAACTATCTTTCCCGGACGATCTCCTTCACTTTTGACCCTCTGCAAGGTATAACAACAAAGTTATATCCACCCAGGGCGCGATCCTGATGAAGAATATATATACTTTTTAGGGTCGAAGAGGTCTCCTTCACTGCGTTGCACACTTTTGACCAAAATTATAATTCCCACTGCAAGGGTATAATAATGTATGCACCCTTGACGGTGACGTCAGTATTTATTTGAGTCCGCATGCCATATTTAGTTACTACTTATTCGTTTATTCATTTTTTAAGATGGCCAAGAAATCATAAATAGTTTTAAAACAATACTTAGGGTGTTTATTTTTTTCCAGTGAAATTAAATATAAAAATTTTAGAATAGAAATGCGATCACCTAACAATTTGCTCACAAAATAACAACTTAGAATAGCACATACACCAGGTAGCTGATGTAGATGGTGAAGAACAGTACATAGAAGTTGGCTTGCCCGTCGGCTTTCAGCACCTGCCACATGTTGTACTGCTTGCGCTCCGGTGTCGAAATGGTGGTGTTCAATGTGTCAACATGTTGCACCTTTTTGGGGCTTAGGCCACCTTTATCTAGTCCGGTAATGCGCATAATCCGACGTGATCTTCGATGCTCCACGTCCGATGCTTTAATCGTTTTATGAAGGGCACTACGAAGACCATAGTGCGGGGATGCGGTTGCAAGGGCCCCAAAGGTGTTTCTCTCGACGATCAGCAGCCCGACCAGCATGAACCAGGCCAAAGACATTCCCCGCTCCGGATGTCGTTGGAAGCCAACAGACAGTGATCAACTGGAAAACGCTCTCTATGGAACCGGCGTGATGTGCTATCACCGAAACAGATAGCGAACGGTGTCTGTTTTCTGTTTGCATACCTCGCAGGTGTTTTTCGAGCTCTTCTGGATGTTTGCTGTACTTTGGGAGCTATTGTGTAAGTTCTTGCCTTAGCTCTTTCCTTAGCTCTTGCCTTGACCTTTCAATGTCGTATTCGAAGTTGGACCTCAATTACATGTGCCAGACGGATGTGTGGATAAGAGATTCCACATCCGAAAAGAAGTAGCCCGGCCCCTTTCAGCCTTGTAACTTTTAAATAAAATTGACAACAAAAAATATTCTCTGGGTGTAGGCATGCTATTCTATAAATCAAATAATTACAAAAGTTCGGCCCAAGCCTCCATCGCCGTTGGTATTGCCCGGGCTCAAAAACAGAACTTGAAGAAAACTTTGCCAAAGAGGTGAACCAGGCGAAAGTTTTGCCAAGTAACAAAAATTGCATTTAGGCGCATTTAGGCGGCAGTTAGGTAAGAGGCCGAGATCGCAAGATCCATGGCAAGAGCTTGCGAGATAAAATCCGTTCATATATTCTTAAAGCCGTTCCCTCTGCTTCGGGCGTGAAATCGTTTTTGGCCACAAATTTAATGCAGCCTCAGCGTCGGCGGCAAAACTTTTTTGCCATCGCTGCAGGCCAAAACTTTCGCCTCGGTCGGTGTGGAAACAGGCTTCCTGTCTGTCTCCCGCCCTCGTCCTCGCTGCCCCGACAGCCTTTGTGCCAATTCGAGTTGCAGAACTCCAGCGAAGCGTGTGAAATGCGCCACAGCCTGGTTAGGCCTTTGAGCAGTCGCTGCTTTGATGGATTTGTACATAAATAGGGCCAAGCCAAGGATGCGAGGCGACAATGCCCAACATTTTAATTTCGCTCTATCCCCCCATGTACAGAACGTAAAAAGGGCTCAAAGTGTTGGCATCTTGTTTCGGATTGTGCTTTAGATTTGTACACACGGTAACAGTCGTCCAAAATATGTATTACGGGGACCGCAGATAAGAGTTTTTCCAGACTCCTATTTGTATTAATTTTGTTTACCGAGTTGGCTTTTATACATTTTGCGGACAAGAGTAAATACACTTTTAGTTGTTTTTCAAATTGGCTGATTTTTGTGCATAAAAACCAAATTACCGTTGTTTTTGACGTTTAAACCTAGTACTCAGATCAAAAACGAGTTCGCCAGCGGAAAATCTTTAATCTTTCATGTGTGACAGCGTTTTTGAGAGTTCATCAGTATTAACTGTGCTACGATCGTACTGTTAATCAGTTGGATTTGTTAACAAAGAGTTGAAGCTGCACTAAGTTCGTGCAGTCGGCTTGTATACCCTGGCAGAGGGTATTATAATTATACCCGTTACTCGTAGAGTAAAAGGGTATATTGTATTCGTGCAAAAGTATGTAACAGGTAGAAGGAAGCGTTTCCGACCCTATAAAGTATATATATTCTTGTTCAGAATCACTAGCCGAGTCGTTCTAGCCATGTCCGTCTGTCCGTCTGTCTGTCTGTCTGTCTGTCTGTCTGTCCGTATGAACGCTGAGATCTCGGAAACTATAAAAGCTAGAAGATTGGCATTTTGCATGTAGATTTTAGGAGTTCCTACGCAGCGCAAGTTTGTTTCAAAATGGTGCCACGCCCCCTCTGACGCGCACAAGCCACAAGCTGTGGCCACAGTTTTGCTATTATGCAAATTTTAATTGATATGTATTTGTTTCGTTAATACCTATCGATTTGCCTAATAAAAGTTTGCCACGCCCACTCTAACCCCCAAAAACCCATTAAACGGTTAAGCCTGGCTTAAGCCTACATTTCTACATGGGGTAGATGGCGCAATACAATAGCGCCATCTAACGGCTGACTTGGGAACAGCTGGCCAAGGTGCTCAACAGAGTCAACGTTAATTCTCGATAAGGATTTCTATTAAAGGAAATTGCTATGGTTTTCATTTGTCAATACCGAACTATATCCCAAGAACTATGCAAATCAAATCAAGTTAGCCAAATTGGAGGTCTGAGTCAAACAATGGCGTATGTGTGTATGTATGTGCGTGTTGTACACAGTTGCAATTGCAATTATAATATTAAGTTGTTTAGCTGAGTTACGGGTATCTAATAGTCGAGGCACTCGACTATAGCGTTCTCTCTTGTTTTGGTCAAAAGCGTGCAACGCAGTGGAGGAGACATCTCCGACCCTATTAAGTATATATATTCTTGATCACGATCACCTCCTGAGTTGATATAAGCATGCCCGTCTGTCCGTCTGTCTGTTTCTACGCGAACTAGTCTCTCAGTTTTATAGATATCGAATTGAAACTTTGCACACACCCTTCTTTCTATATCCTATATATCTGCCATATAACTTAACGAATCGAAATGCCATAACTTACAGAATATTCTGCAAGGGTATATAAACTTCGGCTCCGTCCGAAGTTATCTTTCCTTTCTTGTTATACCTTTGCAGAGGGTATTATAATTTTGGTCAAAAGTGTGCAACGCAGTGAAGGAGACATCTCCGACCCTATAAAGTATATATATTCTTGATCAGGATCGCCTCCTGGGTTGATATAGCCATGTCCGTCTGTCTGTTTCTACGCGAACTAGTCTCTCAGTTTTAAAGATATCGAATTAAACCTTTGCACACACCCTTCTTTCCTTTGCACGCAGTATATAAGTCGGAACGGCCGGGATCGGCCGACTATATCCTATAGCTGCATAAAACTGAACGATCGGAAGTGACATAACTTAAGTGTTTTTGAAGATAGGAAGTTGGGATTTGCGATGGGTTTTATTTTTGGCCAATCAATCCTACCTACCAAATTTAATAAGGATCGGCTGACTATATCCTATAGCCGCCATATAACTCATTGATCGGAAATGCCATAACTTTGCTGTTCGTTAAGTTAAGAAGTGGGGAATTTCTATGGGTTTTACTTTTGGCCAATCAATCAGACCTACCAATTTCATAAGGATCGGCCGACTATATCCTACAGCTGCCATATAACTGAACCATTGGAAATGCCATAAGTTTGGTGTTTTTAAAGTTAGGAAGTTGGGATTTTTTATGAGTATTAAGAATGCATCATATGAATAGTGTGGGAGAATATAATTTACAGAATATTCTGCAAGGGTATATCAACTTCGGCTCCGCCCGAAGTTAGCTTGTCTTTCTTGTTTTCATTGTACATTGCTTTTTATTCTTTTTTCTTTTGCACAAAAAAAATGTTTTTCTTTGCTCAGTTTATCCACGGAGCTGGTTGATCAGGCGCCGCTGCCTCTTGAGAAGCTGCTCCATCCTGTGCCTCCTCTTCTCCTGGCGCTGCCTCCGCTCCTGGCGACGACGACGCTCGCGAGCCAGACGGCGGCGGCGGGCACGTCTGCGCCTCCTGGCCTCCGCCGAGGAGGAGGACGAGGAGGAGGACGCGGTGGTTGAGTCCGAGGAGGCGGCGGTGGTGGTGGTGGTTGCCGACGAATCGGTGGTGGTGGTGGTGGTGGAAGTGGAGGTGGTTGTGGTCGCCTCCGTGGTTGTGCTGGTTCCACTGCCCTCCTGAGCCAGGAGAAGGCACAAGAGCACGCCGAGGACAAGTGCGAATAGGAAGCGCATTGTGATATGTCTGATCTCGAAAGCTGGGCGGGCTTTTATACGGAATCTGAGACAGAACCTACAAGAACAAACCTTGTAATCAGCAAATACCGGGCTGGTGCTCAACAATTGGAAATGTTTGCACAGCTTATCGATCTCGACAATAGCTTTAGCATGATCTTTAATGCTGTCGGGCTTGTAATTCAAACCAAACCTAAAAAACCATCGGTATCCCAAAAATATTTGGGCGATACGTGCGTTAAAAAATCGAATTTTCTTAAGGAGGAGCCTGCTTTAGGAGCTTAAAAAATCGATTTTTCCGAGAAAATAAATATTGGACTTCAACGAAACTTTATGGTTTTATTGTTATATATTTCAACAGTCATCTTAAATTTATTATTGTTATAAATCTATTTTTATTGTAATTAAAAAAGGAGTGAAATTGTTTCTAAGTATAAGTGATTTGAAACCCCGCAGAAATAATGTCTGGGACATAGAGATTTGGATTTTGCTTGAAATTTGTTTGGAAAAAATTTACAAATAGCAACAGCCAATTCGAATTCCTACCAACCAATTTGTCCACAAATTGTATTTTAAGTATGTAATTGATAATATATTGTTTCAGAAAGAATTTATGAGTTGGTTGTAGAAAAGACATTTTTTTAAAGATCGAGATTATAATTTTATTTTTATACCCTTGCAGAGGGTATTATAATTTCAGTCAAAAGTTTGCAACGCAGTGAAGGGGACATTTCCGACCCTATAAAGTATATATATTCTTGATCAGCATCACCAGGAGAGTCGATCTAGCCATGTCCGTCTGTCCGTCCGTCTGTCCGTCCGTCTGTCCGTCCGTCTGTCCGTCCGTCCGTCCGTTTCTACGCAAACTAGTCCCTCAGTTTTAAAGCTATCTGCTTGAAACTTTCCCAAAAGTTGTCTTTCTATTGCAGGTAGTATATAAGTCGGAACGAGCCGGATCGGGCGACTATATCATATAGCTGCCATATAACTGAACGATCGGAAAAGCCATAACGTTGGTGTTTTTAAAGTTAGGAAGTTGGGATTTTCTATGAGTTTTATTTTTGACCAATTTATCCGACCTACCAATATAACTGAGCGATTGGAAATGCCATAACTTTGGTGTTTTTAAAGTTAGGAAGTTGGGACTTTTTATGAGTATTAAGAATACATCATATGAATAATTTTGAAGAATATAATTTACAGAATATTCTGCAAGGGTATATCAACTTCGGCTCCGTCCGAAGTTAGCTTTCCTTTCTTGTTGATTACTGATACTATGCCAACCATACGTGAAAACAACAACTTAAGTAATTGCCGTTTATTTTAGGATCTGATACGTTGCTAGAAAAGCCCTTGATATAACCAAGAAACAAACAGTTCAAATATTTTCAATTTCTTTAATTGGACGGTGCTTCGCAGCTCTGAAGGGCGTTTCCCAAGCGTCCTGAATCCGCTCCACCTATCCGCGCAGCCGCTTGATCAGGCGGCGCTGGTTCTCCAGTTGCAGGCGCAGCCTCTCATTCCTGCGCTGCCTCCTGCGCTCGCGGCGCTGGCGCTCGCGGGCCAGTCGACGGCGGCGAGCACGCCTGCGCCTCCTGGCCGCCGCCGAGGAGGAGGACGAAGAGGAGGACGCGGTGGTGGTGGTGGAGGTGGCGGCGGTGGTGGTGGTGGTGGCAGACGAATCCGTAGTGGTGGTGGCAGTGGAAGTGGTCGTGGTTGTGGCCGCCTCCGTGGTGCTTGTGGAGTCTCCACTGCCCTCCTGGATGAAGAGGAGGCAGCCGAGGATGGCGAGACCGAATACGATCGAGAGGCGCATGGTGATATGGTTAAGCTGGGTAAATGCGATCGCTTTTATACCCGAGCTATCTGCGCAGTGTTTATAAATCGAACTACCTCGATATTACACTTGTCATTCAGCAATGTTTGCACAGCTTTTCATGTTAATTTTTTTTTAATTTTCCTAAGGCTTTCTATGATGGCCTTTAAAGAACATAAGTTCTTAGAAACCCAGGAAAGGGCAAACTGCTCTATCCGTATTTTCAAGTTCGATACCCAATGCATGCGGTGTTCTTAGGTTTGCATATATTTCTTATGTTCGACTTAAACACCAAATGACACAATAGATACTCACAAATACATGCAGGCATTATCAGATTTTAAAAACATATTTACATATATTTTTTACGAATCTAAGGGTTGTTACCTCAAATTCCGATGACCTTATTTCTTTCCGATCCACGGGATTTTAAAATTTAATTTGCCTAAATAAAAATAAAGTTGATTGTAATTAATTTTAGTCGATATTTAAATTATTTAGCTTACCAAACAGCAAAAGGTATATTCTTCTGATTTTAATGAAGCTTATAGGTTGTGCCCAAAAATAATGAGCAAGGAAAGCAATATAGGGTAATTATTTTACAAAACAACAAAATAAATAGAAGCTGAGTTTTTCAAGTTTTATCAGCCTACCTTTATATTGAGACGATTGCGCAAGATTTAGATTTATCTACAAAATGTTGTTGTATTAATTAAAACATTAGGTTTTACACACATTTTTATAGTGCTATAAGCTTTAAATACGAGTTCAATTTTGTATGTGGTTGAAATAGACTGTGGCCCTTTTTGAGATTTTTCGACATAATTTCTTAAAAAACATTTACATTTATATAATTCCTAATAAATGGAATAAAAAACAAGAGAGAACGCTATAGTCGAGTGCCTCGACTATTAGATACCCGTAACTCAGCTAAACAACTTAATATTATAATTGCCGGGCAATTGCAACTGTGTACAACACACACATACATACACACATACGCCATTGTTTGACTCAGACCTCCAATTTGGCTAACTTGATTTGATTTGCATAGTTCTTGGGATATAGTTCGGTATTGACAAATGAAAACCATAGCAATTTCCTTTAATAGAAATCCTTATCGAGAATTAACGTTGACTCTGTTGAGCACCTTGGCCAGCTGTTCCCAAGTCAGCCGTTAGATGGCTCTATTGTATTGCGCCATCTACCCCATGTAGAAATGTAGGCTTAAGCCAGGCTTAAGCGTTTAATGGGTTTTTGGGGGTTAGAGTGGGCGTGGCAAACTTTTATTAGGCAAATCGATAGGTATTAACGAAACAAATACATATCAATTAAAATTTGCAAAATAGCAAAACTGTGGCCACAGCTTGTGGCTTGTGCGCGTCAGAGGGGGCGTGGCACCATTTTGAAACAAACTTGCGCTGCGTAGGAACTCCTAAAATCTACATGCAAAATGCCAATCTTCTAGCTTTTATAGTTTCCGAGATCTCAGCGTTCATACGGACAGACAGACAGACAGACAGACAGACAGACAGACGGACAGACAGACGGACAGACGGACATGGCTAGAACGACTCGGCTAGTGATTCTGAACAAGAATATATATACTTTATAGGGTCGGAAACGCTTCCTTCTACCTGTTACATACTTTTGCACGAATACAATATACCCTTTTACTCTACGAGTAACGGGTATAAAAAGTATTTTCATCATCAAGGCCTAGACAGTTTTGTATATGTATTTCTTGTTTGAAATATGCTGTTAGGCACAAGAAAGTTTTCTCTTAATTAAAGACAAATTGATACTGAGGACCATTTGTCTTTGTTATTACTGCACTTAAGCTATTATATTTGTTTTTGAAACTCAAGAAATTCTAAGTTATTTTCGAATGCTACATTCATCAACGCCCAATGTACCGCAGGTCGTGGGAGACCACTAAGGTATCATGCCTCGATACTCGCAAGGTCTTGACTAATTCTAAGTTCTTACATCTTAATCTGGGCAAACATCACCAAGTACAAGCTAACAATCAAACAACCCTGTTTTCCAGCTTTTATAATAATACTTTGCTATAAAACCCGGTGGCAGTGATCGAATTCGGCAGACACATTCAGCATGCGCTTAACGTTCGTTCTGCTCCTGGGCCTGCTCGGCTGCCTGCTGTTCGCCCAGCAGGGACGTGGTGATACTTCTACGACCACTGAGGCCACCACCGCGAGCTCGTCGGACTCTACCACGACGACTGACGCATCTTCATCTTCGGACGACGCCACAACTACCACGACCGAAGCCACAACCACTACCACTACCACTTCCTCCTCCTCATCGTCGTCCTCCAAAGCGGCTGCCCGGCGTCGCAGGGCCGCCGCCCGCCGACGGCGCTTGGCCCGCCAGCGTCGCAGGCGTCAGCAACGCCAACGGCAACGGCGCCGCCGCCAGGAACAGCGGAGGAGGCAGCAGCAACGACGCCGGCGGAACAATCGGCGGGGCTAGCCGTGCGGCGGTAGTCCAGACCTGGAAGCCTTGCCAGCAGAGGTCTGTTCCTTAAGCCAAAGAAATTTCTATCGATATTTTGTACTAACTTCCAGCTGCGCAGCGTTTTACTATTTTCGAATAAAGAACATTTTAAAAAATTACACATTTTTCCTTAGAAAAAAGGAGTTTTACGTTCTAACGCCTCAGAAAGGACTCTTTTTTGAAAAAATATTATTTTTATAAACATTTCTTTTTAATTTACCGTTTACAATTAGCAAACTCGATTATATGCGTTTATCTGTAGGAAATGTCTTTTGATATGTAACAATAATTTGATATTTATTTAATAATTAATATCAACAAGAAAGGAAAGCTAACTTCGGGCGGAGCCGAAGTTGATATACCCTTGCAGAATATTTGTGGCCCCAGGAATTCCGCAGTGATGCAAACAACTCTTGAGACGACGAAGTGATATATTATTATAATGTTTATTGATTATTATTATTTGGTATCCGATTACAAATATTGTGGTTTTAACTTTAATGAGTTAACAAAACTTAAATTTCTGTGCTTGCGTGACGCTTGAGATCTTGACACCGACTGACTCTTCTTGAGTTCTACTTTATCGATTCTCTCGCGTTCTCGATATACTTTATTAGAAGCGACAACCGCTCCGTGTCTCTCTTCCTACTTGCTCTTCTGGTTTATTCCTGATTCCTACATTCGGCCCTCCTGACGTGATGTTCGTCCCGAACTTCTTCATAAATTCAGCTACAGTGGTTGTTTTCAAAGGACCTTCGCTATCTCCCACTTTTTCAACATCATACCTGCCATGTTTGTTTATTATTTGAACTTTAAACATATCATATAAAAAACAATTCATTTTTTTTTTTTATTTAAACCAACACCATACGTTTGATCGCAACTAAATCATTCAAGTTGTAGAGCTTTTCGTCCTTCCTCTTTGAATCAAAGGATCGTCTGTTTTCCTCCTGTAGGGCTTGAATATTTTCCCTGGCTTCTTTGCGTATCTGATCTCGGTCATCGGCTAACTCCTTAATCAAAGACTGCTGCACATGTTCTTTCAAATTCGCTATGTCAACTACACGCATATCGACACCTGTTAACAACTTAAACGGAGTTACTTTTGTGCTCCTAGGCTCGATATTGTTGATTAATTGCTGCACTTTACCGACATGCTTGTACCAATTTCCTGGATTCTCTAGACTCATCTTCGACAACATTGGCACAACGATTTTATGCATTCTTTCAACCTGCCCGTTACCACGAGGTACACCTGTAGCAATTAATAAATGCTGAATCTTTTGTTTGTCGCAGTATTCCTTAAATAAGTGCGAGGTGAACGCTGCACCCCTATCTGATACCATCCTGAACGGATTACCAAAGGTTACTGCTTGCCTCTCTAAACAATTAAGTACCTCTTCGACTCCTGTACTGCGCGTCGGATACAACCAAACAAATTTCGAAAATGCATCTACGACAACTAGGATGTGATTATACTTTTTCTTGGTGATCTCCATTGGTCCCACATGATCAATGTGATAAGTGACTAAAGGTTTGTCCCCCTTATCAATAGGATTTAAATATCCTTCCTGTTTTCCCATTTTTGCGTTAACCATAATGCACTCCACACAACTGCCTACTACTCTGGATACTTTATCTCTCAGCTTTGGAATGAAATAAGATTTCTCCACCAAGTCTTGTGTTTTCTTCGCCGAAAAATGGCCTTGCCTATGAGCAATTTGTATGATTTCAATTTCCATTTGAGATGGGACTACTATTAACTCTCGGTCGGGGTCTTTGAACAATATTTGATTGGCGATGTAATAATTCTCATGTCCCTTATTTTCAACCAGGCTTCGGACGGCTCTTGTCCATTCATCTGCCATCTGAGCTTCTTTTAATCTGTGCATCACACTCTCTGTCAATACGAAACAAGCAACTCGACTAAGCGCGTCTACATGCCTCATTTTCGTGCCTGATCTATGTTCTATCTCGTAATCATAATCTTGCAAAAACATTGCCCATCTAGCCACTCGCAACGGAACTTCTTCTTTTTCATTGTCATGGCGAACGCGTTACAATCAGTGATGATTTTGACTTTCGTTCCCAACACATATACACGCCATTTAGTCAACGCTGCAATGACTGCCAACACTTCCAGTTCGTATGAGTGATATTTTTCTTCACATGGCTTCGTTTTACGACTCATGTACATAACAGGGTGTAGTTGACCGTCTTCTAGGTCCTTTGCAGAAGGACTGCCCCAAAACCAAACTTAGACGCGTCCGTGTGTATTTCAGTAGTCAATTTAGGATTATACAGTTTCAGAACTGGTTTTCTAATCAATGCTGCCTTTAATTGTTCGAATGCAACCTGCTGCAACTCCTTGAACACAATCTTGACATCTTTCCTCAGCAAATCTGACAACGGCTTCGCTATAACTGCATATCCATCCACGAACTTCCTAAAATACGACGTTAGACCAAGAAATCGCTGAATAGCTTTACGATCAGAGGGCACTGGAAAATTTGATACCGCTTGCGTTTTCTCATTACTGGGTGTGATCGAACCGTTTTCTATAACATATCCTAGAAAATCGACCCTGCTCTGTAAAATTTGACACTTGGTCCAGTTAATCCTCAATCCATTTCCTCTGCTACTTCAAGCACTTTTTTAAGCTTCTCTACTCCCTCTCTGATATCTTTGCTGGGAATAATAATATCGTCCATGTAGACAACTGCTTCACCGTTTTTAATGAGGTCCCTGAGAACTGACATTATAAAGCGAGTAAATACTGCCGGGGAGTTAGAAATACCAAAAGGCACATACAAGAATTCAAATTGTCCGTTCTGTGTAACAAATGATGTATACTTCTGAGATTCAACATCAACTGGAACATGAAAATAACCGTTTGTTAAATCTAGTGTTGTGAAAATCATCGCTCCCTGTAACTTCTCGATAACGCTATCCATCTGTACCATCGGAAAGTTATCTCGCACAATTTTCTCGTTTAATTTACGATAGTCGCAACACAATCGTTTCTGCCCATTCTTTTTTGACACAAGTACGATTGGAGAAGCGTACTCTGAAGTACTTGTTTTGATAATTTTCTCTTCAAGCCACTCTTCAACCTGCGCATCTACTATCTTCTGTTCAGTATAAGGAATACGTCGAGGATGTTGAAATACTGGCGATTCATCGGTGAGTATAATCTTCATCTCGACCGGATAACGAACATTTCTTTTCGGCTTGTATTCATCAATCATGTGTTTCACGACACCTCTAAACGAATGTGGCAAATGCGTCAACTCTATGTCCTGCTTACTTTCCGTCTGCTCTATAGTTAGCATACACAAACTCTGAAACTCCTCCAACAACTCCGTGCATGAACTTACTTGTTTTTGTTCGCGAATTTGGCATTTTCGTCCTGTTATTACCTGCCTGTCTGATCTGCGAATCAACTCTGTACCGTCCTTTGTTATCTTCATATCCACACTATCTAAGAGAGTTCTACCTAAAATAGCTTCAAAAGCCATGTCCTCATCCGATATTATGTGAAATTCTACACAGAGATTAATACCATCTATTTGTACTGGGATTGTCACACTTCCAAAAGTCACAATTTGGCTTTCACCGATACCTGTCAAACATTTTTCGTTTCCTGTTAATTTTTCCACTCCGAGCTTTGAGAAAACATTGCGACGCATTAAGCACAAATCAGCTCCCGTATCTATCAATCCTTTAAAAATAACTTTTCCAGATGAAATGTACTTTAACTCCAATCCTGAAGGCGTAAACGTGCTTGTTGGCTTCGCCCTGTCTTCCGTCTGTACTAAGTTTGTTGTCTTTTCCTGTTTAGCTACGATCTCGTATTTGCACTGAGCTGCTCTATGTCCTGGTTGGTTGCATCTAAAACACTTATTATCTTTCTTCGGGCAATCTCTTTTGATATGAGATTCGTCCCCACAGTTAAAGCATTTCCTTACTTTCTCGGCTGTTTTTACTACCTCTTTGTCACCTTTATTGAAGTGAGAGTCATACCTAAATTGCTTTACTGATACTCGCATCTTCTGATATGCCTCAATCAATACTTTCAACTGCCTCATACTCTTTGCTTGGTAAAGTAAAGCCTTATTTGTCTTAGAGTCTGGAATACCGTCGACAAAGTATTCAATCAAGCTTTCATCATCCAGATCAATTGGCTTTGCCAATTCCATTAATGCATACAGGTACTCGTGCAACGATTCGGTCTTCCTCTGCTGCCTTTTGCCAAGTCTACGATGTATCTCTGCTGATGACACCCTCACACCAAATTCGTTGAGTAATGCGTTCTTTAAAGATCTCCAATCCCGAACATCTCGCTGACTACGAATAAAGCTTCGCCGCTCCGCTAAGTAGTTGTTTAGCATAAATAAAAACCTGCAGCTGACTCCATTCCACAGTTAGTGCACATTCTTCAAGTTCCTCTATCCACTGATTAATGTCTGGTGAATTATTTCCCGAAAACTGTGACACACTTCCTTCCACATCCTTCAAAGTAAACCATGACCTACCCGAATTAGAACTTTCACGGTTTTGCCCACCTACAATTGAATTCCTATTTGATCCACCATTTTCATGTGCCTGTGAAGGTACTGAAACGAAAGATCCGCCCTCATCATCATCCACTTCAATTCCTACCTCATTGTTATCATCAATTTGTAAACCATAGTGAGCAAGCAGTCTATTTTGCAATTCGATTTTCCTTCCATTTCGGCTTAATCCTAGCTCTGTCAATTTTTCGCGTAGTTCTGCCACAAGCAGTGCCAAAATCTCTTGCCTGTTCATTTTAAAGACTTAAATATAATCGTATAAAATAGAAGAGTAATATAATGCTTATCAAATAAAATATGTACATATATCAAAAACGAAAACTCGCCAACTTACGTTATTACGTTACTCTAACATAGCAGCTTTATGCACTGCTTGAATTTATGCAAGAATGGAAACTTAACTCTACGTTGCTGTAAACACAACAGCACGATTGCAGAACAGCAATCCAAAAATTTGTATATTGTCTTCTTGGCAATTTGTCTCGATCTCTTCGTCTTGTGTTCTTCTTTCCGC